GAACAGAATTCCATAATCGCTTCTAATCTTGCGTTTGTGACCGCATTAACTTTCCATTTAACATTTAAAGGCGTTTTTAGTTTTGTTTTCGCCCCCACTCCCAGGATCAATCCAATTTGCGAAACACTTTCCGCATAAACAAAGCCGTGAATAAAGCTGGGAGGCAAACGCTTTGCTTCATTGAATCTGTCCAGTCATGCCCCGTATCCTCGCCGTCCATGTCCCTTCAATGAAAAGTTTTCAGCGCGCTTTGTACGCTTTCTATCTAGCGGGGACCCTCTCCCCGATTTTGGTCGATCAACTTTATGTTGTGGCCCAAACCGAAGCAACAAAAATAAAACCTAAAAATATACATCGCGGGGAATTCGATGGGAGGGATTTTTGGGAAAACGCGTTTGGCTTTCTCATTCAATATTTTCGGTTTCATCGTTGACGGGAAATGGATTTCGTTACTTTTTCCAATATTTTTTCGCTGCGTCCCCTCGGTCTTGGCCAACAATTTGGTGGCATAAAACTGCGAATGAATGAATTTTAAATAAAAGCAGGCTCGACCCGAAGCCAGAAGTGCTTGGGACGGCAGTGTTTTGCATTGGAAATTCTAAGGGCTAGGAGCTGGGAGCTGGGAAATGTAAATCTACTAAATTTGTTTTCTTTTTTCTCGACCCCTCCGTTTGGCTTTCTTTGGCGTCGTTTTGTTGCTCAACTTTTTACTGGCCTGGCTTTTGACTTGGACTCTTGGCCACATTGGGGGATGGGCATTGCCGTGGCCCAGGGAATGTCCTGGGGGAGGTGTGTGTGTGGGGGTAGACAGCACCAAGCTGTTTGCTTCCAATTAGACTCGCCGGGCGCCATGGCAGCACCTAGGGGCCGTATGATAATTGGATTGCCATGCATGGAGGACACACCCTAGTCCTTCCAGGCACTGAAAGAAATTTTTCCATGTGTATTCATTCTTTCTTTTGAATTAAAAGGTTAGACACTTAAGCTCGAGTTTTTGCTAAATTGTCACTAATTACATTTTAGCCTTGTTGCTACAAACTCTTCTCAGTGTAGAAGGAAAAAGAGATAGTTTAACAAGACTGTTTGTTTCCTGCTTCTCGGTTCTTGGTTCTCCGTTTACCGTTAGCAGGTTGCTGTTTGCCTTCTGCTTTACCAGATAAATGGACAGCCCCGTGAGACCGAGAGCCAACAACAGTAGCCGGCAGGACGTTCAGGACGAGAAGGAAAGGCAGCAGGAGGGAAGGAGACCGTCGAGCAGCTGAGCAGCCGGCAGCAAGAGGCAGACAACAAAGAAACGTCAACAGTTGACAAGTGGCTGGCAAGGAGTGGCCCGACGGGGGAGTTTGGGGACAGAGCGGGAGAGGGGTACGAAAAGCCTTGCAAAAGAGCTACAAAAACTGTAGCACACTTTCGAGAGCAGCGGCAAGTGGGCAGTGCTGCGACGATGAGGAGGCTATAAATAGTTGCAGGCGCCTCGGGACTAAAAACTATGCCAAAGGAAGTGCACTGGGGTTAGAGCAAGGGCGGGGAGGTCGGAGCTCAACAGGTGGGCAGTGGGAGACGGGGCGTGGCCGGCTAAGCCACTGCGACAAGGCAATTTTCTGACTGACCTGTGCTCTGCTGCTGAAACTCCGCCACACGGTGCGTATGTGCAATATGTGGCCGGAGCTAATAGCTCTTCACAGTGGTGGCTTCAATGTGGTTTCAGATAAACAGTGGCTGCAACACTCGCTGCGCAGGAAATTGCCACAATTTCTATGCTACATTTTTGATGCGCCTTTAAAAATTGGCAGCAAAAAGCGGAATTAAATTAAATCCGAATGAGCGTTTTCATGGTGGAAGCCCCTTTTCAAATATGCAAATTAATTTTTCAAGAGGAAAAAACATGGCGCAGTTTTAATTTTTTCCATAAACTAGAGAGTGGAGAGATTGGTCAGGCGATGAATTTAATTAAATGCAGTTTTTAAAGCTGGTTAGCGCTCAAAACACATACACTGAGTATGCATACTAGAAAGTATGAAGGACTTTAGTCTTAAGCCGTAGGATCCTCTCCATGCCCCCAGCCAAGAGCAAAAGCAGGAGATAAAGGGCAGCCAGGGCCAGCAGTGACAAAGTGCTAAAAACTAACGAAAAAGTAACGCCAAAGCAACAAAAAGCAGATAAGCAACAAAGCGAGGCAGCAACACGGCACAATCGTGGCAACAAAGAGCAATACGAATGAGTGCAAATGCCAAAGGTTTTCAGCCAAACCGCACAGGCAGCAAAGGCCGGGCCATGAAGAAATGGAAGAAACTATTCCAAAGTCATTTGGCAAGCGTCGAGGGCACGGAGGGGCGACCGGCAGGAGGTAGGAAGGTCGAAGGTAGCAGAGCCGGGCCAGCTGTAATGGCAGTGTTAATGGGCGGTGGCACAGATGAAAGAGGAAAAAGTGTTTATTGCGAAACAAAGCTGTAAAATCTGCACAATGAAGAGTGCGAGTGGCAAGAACAATAACATTTTACTAAAAAGGAAAATGGGAGTGGAAGATGTCATAAATATTCAAACAACAAAATATTTAATTAATGCATGAATTACTTTCACCATGAAGTAATCTAAGCCTGACTCGTTTACTGAGCTACCATTTCCCTAAGCTACACATTAAAGCATCACCATAAATACCCTTGAAAAATAGGGAACTACTTTTGAAGCTTCCTTAGTTTTATCGCAGTTTTGATTGCAATTCGACCTCCGGGGCACCATCATTGCAGTCAACTTTGGTCACTCGCTGGCCTCGGTAAGTTTCTGACAGGCAAACTAATTTAAGTGCGAAAAGGACAAAAGTGGCCCGAGGACAGGCAAGATCCAACGCGAAGTGGCACTTGTCATCCTGCCCCCTGACTCTTTCGACTCAGCTCCAACTGGAGGCCAATCAATCTTGGGGTTGGAGTTCTGGCAGGCAGTTCAAGTGCCGGGCAAAGCCTGCTTCACTTCATCTTCATTCATTTGGGCAATTGCCCGCCTGTCGCCTCAACTGTGTCCTTTATTTTTGCCAGGCTTTTCTCCACGTTCGGCCTTTTAGAGGGTCCTAACGACAATTGCAAATATGTTGCAGTTTCCCGGTTCGAGGGCCAATGGTCCCGGTCCCTGTCCCGGGCTGCTTTTCTGGTCCAGTTCTGTTGCTCAGCTTTCGTTTCCTCTTCGCCCTTTCCTGTGCTTTCTTGTGCATTCGTAACACAAGGACATGGCAGTCTGAGCAGCACCCAGGGACCCCAAAAAAGTGTTGCAACTGCCCGTATTCTGCTCCTCATACTCGGCTGCCCCTCCAGCGCCTGCCACGAAGATTGATCACAGTTGGCGCAAGTTTTTTGCCCCTTCCTGCAATTTTTATTTCCGGAAAACCCCTTTCGCCGACTTCCACGTCCCTGGGCCTGTCGTTTAATATGAAAAATTGCGCGCAAATATTTGCAAAGCTTGCAAAAGAGCGAAATGGCAAGGAAAGGGCTGCAAGGGTGGACTAAGGAGAATTCGTCTGGGTATCCTAATTGTGAGAATTTGTCAGTTTCGTTTCTGAGGTCAGATATTAATCGTCTGCCTTCCTGGCAAATGGTGGTAGTATAAATATATTCATCTGAAAGAAACCTAATCTTATTATTAGAGCTTTAACCTTTTTCTAAAAGTTACAGAGCTCTGATTGAATTGATTCTAAATAATATTACTTTATTAGGATTGAGAAAAAAACCACTTTCCTTGTTCTGTTTTCCAATAGCAGTGCTTTTTATTCCTGCGCTGACTGGCCAAAGGGATTAAGCCATTAAAAGGATCCATCCAAATGTACAGCAAACGAATAAGGATAGAATAGTATACATGGTAGCAGAGAAGGTTTGCTCAGAGTAGCTTACCGTTATTTGAATGCACTTAACGCAAGCTCCCAAGCTTATTGCCAGTTGTTAACTTGGCTTCATTGGCCGCAGCTTAACTACTTTTTGCAGCTCACTTTCCCCCAAAAAAATACAGAAATGGAAAGCGAATCCTTTCAGAGTAGCAAGAAAATACGGAAATAAGAGAATCCATAAAAACTAATATTAACTCCTTTATGCTGCGCCCGACAACAGTGAAAGTTGCAGAACAGACAAGGCCAAGTGGAACAGGACATACAGAAACCGAACTCGAAAGTGCCAAAGACGGAGTGAATGAAATTGTTGGCCAGCGTTGTTCGCTTTTGCTTCCTCTCGATTTTAACGCATTGGCTAAGCCTTCAGGGAGTCGTTTGAAAGAAAAAAAGGCGACCAGCGAAAGAGGCGTGTCATGGCCTAACACGCGACTGCAATTTGCCAGGACGCGAAAGGATAGTGAGAGGCGGAATTGGCCTCTGACTGGCAGAAATGATGGGAATTTTCGAGCGCGACAAGTCGGTCTTTGGGCTGGTATATAGACGACTATGTACAAGCCTATGTACATATTTGTACATGCAGGGTGGCAGCTCCTTGTGGAGCGGCTTACCCAACTCTAGCTCTAAAAAATGAAAATTGAAAATTGCCTGAATTGCATTTTGCAGACGCGATGAGAAACGGTAGGGGTGGGAGCTCTGGGATAGAGTAGTTTCCTTTTATCTGGGAAAAGCATCTGCTGCAGCTCCTTGTGCCGCTCCAGCCACAGGCCACGAGGCATATGAGCAACTTTGACATCTCTAGTTCCTTTAGACAAAAGTTGGAGAGCCATGTTTGTTATGAAATCTGACTGACAGACTCTTGTGTTTCTGGGCATGCAGACTAAAAAGGCATTTAATTAAGTCATTGAGGTTGGCGTTGCGCAGTTTCCAGAGGAAAAGGAAGCACTGGAATTGTTGGGCTACAGATTCTCGGTGGTTTAATGAGCAATCTGCTCCGCGAAGAGTTATGTAATTGAAATTGCGACGGGCGGGGGCAAACACTGCAAATGACTTCCAGTTAGCAGCTTACGCTCTTGGTTTCACCCCCATGTTTTCCCTTGTTTTACCATGGCCGCTGAGTTCCACAACTTACCTCAAATAATTTATTTATTTGGCTGGCTGCTTTGGTGTGTTCAGAGTTCGTATGGGCGGCAAAGTTCTGCAACGATAGAAAAAGTTCCATTATTATCCAACGCGGCCAACTTTTATGATTAATTGCAAATCTAAATAATCTCTTTAAAAGTGCACGCGTAAATTAAAAATGAAATAAATTGTAAAATAGCTATCAACCTAAGCAATCTTAACCAATAATTAGACAAAAATCAGCCTAATTGGTTAAAAAACGATAACAATAAATTATGTTAAAAGTTTCAAAGATTTTAAGCGTAACTCGATGATAAAGTCGATTTATTATCTTCTTCAATGGATAGTCCAGGGGCTTTGTATGATGACCTCAATCCGAGTTTCAAGCGCTTTTGGACCCGCTTGGTTTATAAATCCCGGGGCAACCCCTTCCACTACAGCAGAGCCAAGAGGAGCAAAAACAAATACGGTTGTTACCGTGCTGTTGCATGCAACCACTCGAGCCGTGCAACATGACGTAGGCTCACTCACTACGACGTCAGCTACATTATAGACTAAGTTAAGGCCGCAATCATTAACAGAATCCGATTCCCTTTGTTTATTTTACTAAGGCACTCAATTTCGGGACTTCAGGCCAAACAAAATTTCGAATCCCTGGCCAGACGTACTCTCCTTCCCGTCTGCATTTAATTACGGCTCTACACAGGAGGGACAGACAGATGGACAATTAGTTCTGGCCGTGAATTATGAGCCCTGGCTTCCATTTTGTTTTTCTCTGGTCTGGGTGAGTAAATCATGGTCAGGAGAGTGTGGACTCTGGGATCATGATATCACTTCGGACAATGAAAGCAACGAGGAGACAGGGGCAAAGGCCAACAAATGTGTAGTTAACTTTTATGGCTGCTAGGAGACGGGGAACAGAGCCGAACTTTTGTGCTTCATTTCCGGTTCCGGTTGTGACTGCACACATATGCAAAGCATGCCACGTTGCAGTTGCGGGCGGCAGCATATGGATACTGCGAAGCATGCCGAAAGCCAAAAAGTTTATGAACGGAAAAGACAATGTCGGAATGGCCTGAAGGAGGCGTGCCCGAAGCAGCTCGTTTGTTTTGACTTTCAATTGAAATGCTTTCTTCAGCCCGAGGCTTCTTTGATTTCCCAACGCCCGACCCTGTGGACTGCTGCTTTTGATACTTAGTCTGGTGAAGAGACAATGGAATTCTATAACTTTTTTCTGCATGTTGACTTTGGATTGTTTTGCGAGAGTTCTATTTATGCACATGAAAATAAATATATTGTACAAATAAATGCTGTCGGGGGTGTACTGGTGCATCTTAGACTTTGTATCAGTGCAATAGAATGTGCTTAAATTGAATATAACAATTGGGGAGAAAGTGGAATTGCAAAGACTTATTCTTCAACTCGCCCTTTAAAACCCAAACTGGCTAATAAGGTCTTCGGATGAAAATACATAATGCATTTTCGTTTTGTTTTTTGTTGCAAAATATTTAAGCAGACTAAACGACGTAGAATAAAGGCAAGGATACCAAAAAGAGAAGAAGACCGGGCTAGACATGAAAACACAACCCAAAATAACATTTCTATAGCACCAAATGGAGGTTTTCTCCCCCAGTTGTTTGTTGTCCTGTCGTTCTTCTGTTTGCTCATCTTGTTAACCATTATTTCCCTCCTTTTCCCTGCTCCATTGCGATGCTCTTCCAAGATAAGACTCAAACTCAACTCAACCCTAGCGACTTGTTAGCCCAATCCCTCATAAAGGAAACTTTGGGGCCAAATCGAGGATTGTTTTGGCCCTAAAATTGTGGGTCAATAGTAGGTCTTGTTGATGCCCGCTTCTCCCATTGCTTTATCTACTGCCCGGCTTCCATTCTACAATATATTTATGCACATTTCCTTGGGATTTTATGTGACAGGCAAAGCAAGTACAAAATGGAAAACTTTTGCGTGTTTCCCCTGGAGACTGGGCATTTGACAGTTGGAATATATAAGTCCTAGGAAAGCGATAACGACCAAGTGTCAATTTCTTCTCAATAATTTATCAATTTTTGTGGTCAAACTAATTTGCCTATTTTCTTTATAGATATTTCGAGTGCAAGAAAGGTTTGACTGTGTCTCAAAGAATGTAGCTTATCTCAAACTCAAAAAAGGAATGAAGTCATACAGTCCGTCTAAAATCGACCAAGTACAAACATATTTGGACAGGAGTTCCCTATCCGAAGCAAAACACGATTTTAAACACAAAACTCATTTTCCGATTTCGTAGGAAAATTCCCAGTGGCCGAGTGTCAAAATCAGGCCGAATTGGTTTCCTCTCCCTTTGTCTGAGCCGAACGCCGACAACAATAGACAGATATATGTAGCTGACACGAGTTTAGTTGGGGAGGGGGAGCCAACAGAACCAGAGATAGATGGTCTGACAACGTTTTCCATCAACTAAACAACAAAAGGCAAGAACAGGCCATGCAGAGCCAACAAAAGCATCAACCATAACCCGTTGAAGATGGAGCTGAAGAAGGATTTATTGTCGGTGGGCCGAAGGCATCCTAATGTTGCCAGCTCTGAGGAGAATATGTACGTGTGGACCGGTCCTGTGGTGCTCTAAGGTCCTGGCTATCAAAAGATTAAATCAAATTGTGGTCCCCAAAGCGTAAGGAGCAGGAAAATGTTTCCTACGTCATAGGTGACGTAAAGTCGCAAAGTCTGCTGGAATTGTATTTCGAAGGACATTTTAAGATGTGATTTTAAAATTGAAGCAACCGAGTTTTTCCGAAGGCTACATATTCTAATACTTAAGACTCATAAATAGAAGTTCAATAATTTCCATGGGCTCTGAAATATGCAAATATTGGAAGGAATTTTAATAAATGTTTAGCTTAGTGTGATTAGGAAAGAAACCCTTGGAACGATTCTTCTTTCTTCCATACCCTACCAGAAACCATTCCTACATCTGATTCCGGCAAATCCAAACTTGCCAACTCATCAGCAAAAGCCCATCCTTATCGCTCCTCCGTCTGCGGGCTGCCATTCAATTAAGTCATCACAGCTCAGTATCTTGCAAGCATTTAACACGCAACGGAATCGTTCAGTTCCTTCGCCAGCACCCCTTCCCGCATCCTATATAGCCACTTGTCGAACATGATAAATTTGTGGGAAAATGGCAGTTGGTAGCGTTCCAAAAAAGGATGAGAAAGTGGAGAGGGAGAGGTGTTGCATGGCAGTGTATCCCGCTCAGATGTTATTGCATTTTTAGTGGAAGCCCCAGTCCTGCTGCTCCCCGAATCTAAATCCGAGTGTCCTCCCTTCGCGCGCTGCGTTAATTTTGCGCCAGCTGTCAAATGTCAAAATGTCAAGTGAAACAAAATTTTCGCATCATGAGAAATGCATGTCAGAGTCAGACAAAGTCCCCATGGAGCTGGCGGCGGGCGCGACGGATGGTGCGCCGTGAGCTGTGAGCCAATTTAAGCGACAGGATGCTCCCTCCCTCCACCGCGAATAAAGTGGCTGCCTGGCGGGAATCGTTATCGAGTTACCCAGCCGGAGTGCGCTTCATCATCATCTAACTGTGGGCTTGGGGCAACTAGAAGGGGCGGATTTGCAGGAGCCAGCAGCACGAGGTTGTGCAGCGGAACATCATGATAATGCCCATTATTAGCAGTGGCAAGCATTTGCATGCATTTTAGAATTTGTATATTCCGACATAGACTTGGCAGTCTTCTGCCCTTATTACACTATTCTACAGGGCTCTGTTCAGAGTTTTAATTAACTTAAGCTTGCAGTTCATGGTTATAAGATCATTATAACATATGATCATTGAGACGTACGTGGTCGAAAGTCCCAAACAGTGTATCCTAAATCTTGTTAGTCATTCAACCATGTTAGCCAGTGCCAAATTCGGATGGAAGTGTCAGTAGTGCGTTGTGCATTTGCGTCGGGGCAACCTCAGCCACCGAGGGCAACCCACGAAAACAGCAACCACTCTACTGCCACTCCACCTACTCGTCGCTTCCCGGTCCGCTCTCAGGATACCCGATTTATGCGCACATTATAAGCAATTACACGGCCAAGCCATCTGGGAACCGGCAACTGGCATCAGTTTCAGTGCCACAACGGCGCGCCACAGCCACTTCCATATCCATTTCGATAACTATTTCGGGCGCTAATTGAATCAGCGACTCATGACGCGAGCTAAGCCCACATTCCCGGGGGCCATAGCTGGCTGTGATTTGATTTGGCGGTCAAGTGTCCCGTAAAATCAACCTCAGCCTGGCTCTGGAGATACATATTCATGAACATTAGGGTGATTCTAAGCCAAAAAAAACTTTGAAAATAAAGGAGTAGAATAGGTCTATCGCCACGATCTGCTACATGTAAGAAAGAGCATAACAAAGCACAGACGTTGGAGTGTATATAACTAAATAAACCCGAAATTAGTCAAAAGGATCAATATATTAACCCTCAATAAGAGCTACCCTTATGTGGATGCTGATGAGGCTGGGTTAAATGCGGTTTGTGTGCCATCCGACACTTTGAGTGGCGACAGGACTTGGGCCAAATCAATGCAAATGGGAGTAGAAACGACAGGGCCATGTCCCCCTACACCTTTGGGCATATCTCTGGTCTCGATCTCTGCCAGTGGCGTTTCAATTGGGATATGGTGTAATTAAATTTCTCAGGCCCTGGGCTGCGGGAAGGTGAGTAGTCAACGACTTAATGGAGTCGGTACTGCATGAAATTGCACATCAAACGACTTGCCTGGGGCCGGGATCTCCTTAATGCTCTTAGGACAGAATCCCAGCTAAAGACGAATGCTGAAATGGATTTTCGAGCAGGTAAGTCCGGCTAATTGCAAAACCGCCCGGTACCCTGCACTTAAGCAGCCGTAAATACATATGTTTCTTTGCGGGTCAATGCGATATTATTTTCGCATCAATCATCCATTGAATCGAAAATGAATGGGATTGAAATTGGAAAATGGTTGGCCGCTGCAAACATCAAGAAGGACGTGTCAAAGGCCTCAGGAAGAATGACCACAATAATGAAAATAAAATGGAAAAT